ACCTAATTAAAAGGTTTAGAAGGCATTCTTTTTGCAGAAGTTAGGCAGCATAAAGATTTTCTATCCTTTTTTGCCACACACAATTTTATTCCAGATGATTAATGGTGATTTTATTCATATAACCTCCTTTCCCTACCACATGTGCCTCCTATATTCCTATTTCCAATTATTACACATTACTGTGTAAGGATACCACATGATGGTATTAGTCATTAGGGTGGATCCCAGTGTGGCTTTACTGTATCAGAAAAGGAAATACATACGCTTTAACAATTACTTTGCAGAGTGTTCATAAACTAGGAATCTAGTTTTATTTCAGAGTTCAGAACTGATGAGGTAAATCGAGTTGAACACATGAGCACATCTCTGTATCCATAGATTAAGAACAGTGCTAACATCTGACATAGCATAACCAGTAATACACATACTCTTGGAAATCCAGCCTCCCAAACTCAGGGAATAAATCTCACCAGTCATTTTGGTCACAGCTTCATCTGCTGCCTAGAGATGTCAGAGGCATCAGGAAAGGGCTTAAATCAAGTCTTTCACATAATCCAGTAGATAGTTACCATGAATGCTTATCTCCAGCAACACAGACCAGACTACCTGGGAGCTCACAACTCCTTATTACTAGTTTCCACTATAGCAACTAGCAATAGCCAAGTAGCTCAGGTATATTCATACTCATGCCATCTTCCAGCTGATCAACTGAATACTTCTTAGGTATGACTCATGTTCTGATTTCCCTACTAAAAATGTTACTCCAGTGTAAGCTTCTGACACAAAATGCAGATGCGAAAAATACAATCTCAGAATTTCTATCTGAACTCGGTCAGTTAGAAACTGTAATACTACTAATGTAACATGGTATTTTGAACCAACCTGCTTTCCCTTCTAGAAAAGGAGAATTAAATAGAGCAATGATATTTTGTCTCCCCTTTGATATACTTTTGCATTTCAAGTACAAGTGATTCTGAAAAGACCATGTAGCCTTCAAAGAGAAAAACAAAACAAAAAACAGAAACCAAAACCCCACAACCAAAGTCTGGACATACAAGCTGTTCTTTCAAAATTTCCCAACCACACAAAAGACAGTATTTCTTAACATTTAAGAAAATACCTTTCCTGTGAAAGCAAGGATTTGGAATAAATCTGATCACTTAAGAGAGGGAAAAACTCCAATGCTCAGTTTCTCTTAGAGACCTTAATACAAGACTACACTGACTGCGAAAGGTCATTAGGGACACAGGGCATGAGCTTATTCAAACGAAGTCAGACGGCACTTGCATACCGGAGGGGATTACCTACCTAAGTAGTTAACAGAAAAACTGTGAGCTCAGGGTTGTATCCTCAACTGCGATCCCAAGGATCGATTGTAGACTGGTACATGTGGTCAAATCAATAGCACCGCCTTCCTAGTTATCAGAGCAAGCAGACATAATACAGGGAAGAGAAACCAACCTTTGATACACACTAGAAGACCTACTTTTTCAAACAAGAAAGCTATTTATAATTTGTAAACAACCCTTCTTTGCCTTTCCTTCAAACAAGTTTTCAAAAACATCTTTCAGAGCTTTTCAATTACAACTCCACTAGGCCTTCTTTACACTGACATTGATTGACACTGCACTGATCAGTTTTAAACAGTAATGCCTTTAGGTAGAGATCCTTACAAAATGACAGCTGAAGCTCTGGAATTTATGATTGAAAAGACTGGGAGTGATTATGTTAGAAGCAAAATGCCAGAGAAGACTGGATAGAAGATCTGCCTCATAAGTAAAACTAAATTTCTCACAGATCAATTTATCAAAATATTCAGCCCAGCACCAACGGAAAAATACATGAACAGGCTGATGTCAAAAACTTACAATATGGAGACTGAACATTCACAACAATATTGCATGTGCTGAATTATCAATGCTTAAAGTTTGTGGAAGCAACAGGAAACTATAAGCCTATACAAATAAAAGGGAGGATGAGTAAGGTGATGCCTTCTGTAGCATTATAGCATTTCTGCCAGCAGCAAAACCAGCTCTGGCTGCCAGTGTGACCGAGTTAGATGAGGTGGTCTGCTGGATTGATCTGGAAACCTGACTGCTATTCTGTTAGAGATTTTCGCCTCTAGGATAACAAGTACTGGGCATTGCAAAACACCATGTGAACAGTGAAGATGGAGCTCTTCATGTTTTTGATAATTTGTCACCGTTAGGGTTTTTCTGTCCATCAACCGATACTATACACTAAGTCTCCCAACTGATCACTATATTCTTTATATTAATCAGTATACTCTCGAACTTCAATTTTCAGAATATTATTAAAGAAAAACTTAACATTTATTAATTTGCATATCTTATGCCTGAGATTTCCTTGGTCTCCCCTTTGAAGTTTCAGGTACCTTTGTTTTATTTTACACTTGACTTAATGCAGTGTCTGATCTTCGCAGAAGCAACTCTTCACTGACTCCTTTGTTCCACAGTGCACTTACAACAACAAAAAAAAAGAAATATCAAACTTACAGGCCAGATACTGCCAGTGAGACAAGGACAGTGCAATCACTTTCAGTTTTGTTTCTGAGACTAAAGCCATGAGCTTGCAAAAGCTAAGTTAAAACACTATGTTTTCTCTTGCCTCTATCCTTAAAATTAATGTTTTGCCTAAAAGGTTTAAGTCACTCAATTGAAAGGGTGATCTAAAGCATCACTACTGCTTTTGAATCACAGCTCTGCATGTACAGGAAAATTAAGTCATTAAGCAGCAGTAGTACCACAGCACTGAAATTTAACACCGTCCTGCATAAGGCCTTGAATAAATCAGTCCAACTCTGCTGTGCTGCTACCACATGTACTGTCTCAGCCCCACTCCCCTCCCCACGGCCAGTACATATAGCTTTGTTTTGTATGGAGAAAAGGAGGTCAAAACAGGTTTTTTTCCCCTCTCCCCTGACAAATACAGAGATGAGATCCCAGGTATGCAGGGTCAGCCCTAGGAAGCCAGCAGTTGCAGGACTGCCTGCAGAGGGGCAGAAACTCCCATGCTCCAAGGATGATAAGGCAATGCAGGCGGGGAAGAGGTCTGGCGAACTGCAGTACTTCCTTTTTTCCTTAACACCCCAGATCACAACTGGAGTAAGACTCCCTTCACCAAGCTCCCCCAAAAGCGTCTTAACCTCATAGCAGTCAGTATGCCTTCTATCAGCAGCACAGCCACCGAAGTTACATCACCACAACTCAGTCGTTCCTTAATTTGGTAACACTCACTTGTTCCACCTCAAAGTGCTTTGAATTCAACATGAATGCAGTATTACTGAATCCACAATGGCAGCTATATTAGTTGTACAGCCAAGTGCCAGAGTCCATTTACTTATCTCTATTTTAATGAGACAGTATCAACGTCATAAGATTTCCATAAGACTTTTTTGTTTTGCTTTGTTTGGAATTTTTAAATGATCTGGGAATAAAAAGACTTGATAAGGCAATTACTCATTTCCATCTGTTGTAATTTCTTTTACTAATTAAAAAAGTACCCAAAGCAATCCTAACTTTCCCTTTTAAATGATAGGCTTCAAGCTATCAAAACTCAGGCAGTTCAGCTTCAAAAAAGTTTAAAATGTTTTATATCTGGTAGGTGCTGAGCTAAACAGATCACAAGGCAATACCAGAAAATTGTTAGAAATACAAAACTGAAGTATTCTTACACCAGTGCATACATCCATGGTATGTCTGCATCTCAAATGCAGAGAAAGATATAATCCTCTTTCCCATTCAAAAGCAGAAGAGCTAACTGGAAAAAATACAGAAATAGGTAATAAGCATAAACAGAAATGTGGAGGGCTATGACCCATGATGTAAACAAGCCTTTGACTCCATAGCCTATAAGAAGATGCAACCGAAGAGCGAACAGAGTAGAAATCTAAAGTCTCAAGTGGTACAGGGAAGATGAGTACTACTTTCATCACACAAGAACCAGAATTTAACAAATTACCTCAAGGCAGGCTCGACAAAAAACACACACATCTCCCTGCCTGAACAAAAGCAGACATTTTGTTCTTCATAGAAGATTTAATTATCGTGGGGAGAAACTTACTTCCAAATATGATGGACACTAACCGCTCTCTCAGATTTCAATGGCAATCAGCTCTCAGAGGACAAATTCTTCAAGGGTTAGTTAATAAGCATCAAGGTATTTCCTTGACTCAGGCAGTCCCCAAAACTGACGGAAAGCAGCTGTGTGGGGAAAGGGCTGTCGCCCTATTCCCCTGACGTTCCCCTTCTCCCCCGGGTCCAGCCCCAGCCCAACCACGAGCTGACCGCGCAGGCTCTCACCTCCATTAAACGGTACCTTCAGAAACTGTACCGAGCATCGCGAAGGCGGAGCAAGGCCACACGCTAACGCAGCGCCCACAGGCTCGCTCCCCTCCAGGGCCGCGGACCCCAAATGCGAACTCCCCCCGCCCCCGTTCGGGAGGACAGCGGCCCCACATCCGCCTCGCCGGCACTTCACGTCTGCTGAATCACGACGGGGTCGCGGAAGGTCCCTCGCCCCCGAGGAGCGGAAGCGGCAGCGCAGTTCGGGCCCGGCGGCAGGGCGGAGGGCCCGGGAGCGGCCCGTTGCGCCCCCCTGCCC